GGTGACACTGAGGGTTGCGATCCATTGCCGGACACGGAAAAAGACAAAAAAAAAAAAAAGAGAGACAATGCAAAGCCCAGATGAAAATTTGGATTCGCTGAACGTAAATTTTTGAGAGCGGAGAAGAGAAGAGAGTTGAAAACTTCACAACGGGAGAGTAAATTAGCTACAAGGCAGAGGAGGGACAGATTTCCAATTTGCCCTTAAAATGCCAGAAATAACCAGGACATTTTCCCTCAAAAAACACATACACAATATTTTCTTTTCCTGGGAACACCCATTTAAGTTGGAAGATGGCTCATGCAGCCCCGACAAGTTTAACTTAGTTTCATGCCACGTTCTGCCTAGGCTTGCCAGACTCCCGGCTGATGGGTGGCCTGGGTATGGCCCGGTCAGGGATGGAGACAGCAGCTGGTCCCCCAGAGGAAGAAACAGTGGGAAGGGGGTGTTCTAATGAGCTGCTCATGTGCCACTGGAGTCTGAGAACCCAGGAACACCTCGTGGGAACCCATGCAACCTGCCGGCTCTGCTCTTGGTCTGGCAGTTATGCGCTGGGAACAGCAGGTCTAAAGAGGCAACCCCAAACTGCAGTCAGATCACCACAGAATAGAGTTCTGACAAAGCCTGTCAGGATCAGAGCAGGAGGACGAAGGGAATTCACTCTGGTCCTGCTTCTTGTGGAAGCCTGGATAAACCCACCCATGCCCAGCGTGGCCGCCTCTCCTAACACAGAGCCAGCCTGTGGCCTGAGCCTCTCTCAGGCAACCCAGTCCTCCAGTGCCCCAAGAAGAGTCCCCTCCAAGCATAGCTGCTGGGAGAGGAAACCCAGATGGGACGGCTTCAAAGGAGGCTACAGGAGGAAAATGAGGGAGGGCAGGAAAGCGACTTGAAGTTCCAGCCTCTTACTACACTGTGCTCTTACTATATTTAAACATGTGAGTCTGGGAATAACATTGTTTATTAGTAATACATGGTCCCCAAATGTGGCCTCTCTAAATGACACTCCTAAACTCGGCAACAGAGAGCACGGCCACCCTGTGCAGCAGGCTAGGCCCACAGGAGCATCTTCAAAGTCTTTGCTCCCGGCTCAAAGCTCCTTTCATGCTCCAAATGTTCCTTTGCAGAAAGAGAAGCCAGTCTCCAGACTTCTAAGGCACATAAGAAATCCCAGAACAGGGGGTCATGGAAAGTACTGTCTTAGGGAAAAGGAGAGGAAAAAGAACAAAAAGTGTGATATTCTGCCATTTTAACCACTAATCCTGGGAAAACTTACCTCACACTAGTGAGCCTCAAAATGTGGTCCCTGCACCAGGAACCAGCACTAACACCACCACCTGGGAATTTCTCGGAAATGCAAATTACTGGGCCCCACC